AAAACACTGGCTTATATTATAAAACTTATCAAATATAAGATATAAAATGTTTTCTTTTACTTCGTTTGTTTGAAATAAAGTATTTATTTATCTAATAAGAATGCCCGATACTAAACTAACCCACTAGTACTTAACAATACAGATGAGTACTTAATGAGTTCATCACAATGTCTGTCTGAACAATATCTCTGTTCGTCTTCAAATATCTCAAAACTACAGACTTCTTTAACTTTTTGCAACTTTTACTTGCAAGGCAGAAGAGGAAAAGTCAACAAACATAAAAAATGGTATCGGTCCAAAGCACCAGTATCTTTTTCAGGGGCGGAGCCAAAATAAATACATAAATAAATAAATAAATAATAAGCTGGTAGGTATTTTGTATTTGCTTAGTATTAGGATTAGTATTTTGTATTAGAATGTTTTCTGATACTACATCAATTTTCAGCTGTATATATTTTATACTTACTGAATTATAGCCCTTTGTATAACTAACATTACTGGTTAGCTTAATTTGGGATTAGCATTCTTAGCTACTCCACAATACGGCTGTGTCCAAAACGGCAGGCCGGGTCCTCCGAAGGTCGAATTCGTCGGCTACATACGTCACAGCGCCGCGACGGAGGACGTCCAAAACCGAAGACTCCTCCGATGCGGCCGACAAATACGTCCTTCCTTTGGCCCGAATCGAAGGAAAGGTCTGATGGATCCTTCCCAGCCCAGCATATCCCATAATGCTTTGCGGCCCGACCGGAGATTTTTTTATGCTAGTAATGGTGGACGAAGTGAGAGAAAAGAATACATTTTAAATAAAAATATGGTGATTTAAAATTAAAAAAATTTAGCGGTTGTAATTCTAATACTTTTATCATTTGTATGGACATGTTTTTAAATATTATTTTTTCGTCGTAAAAAACGCGAAATAAACATGAACCTACAGCGGGTCAATTAGTTTTTCAAATGATACTTTTAAGTTAATCTTATAGTTTTGTGATATTAATAATGCTAATGTATTGATAATTTTCTAGTTTTGATTTAAGATTGCTTGTTTAGCGTCGTCACAGTTGCTAGGTGACATGATGTACCCGGGGTAAGGAGGGGAGGCTAGACCGTCCAAATTCACAGCCTCTTTTTTTCCGGTCTTCCCGGTCTACCAAGGACCCGGCCCGCCTCGACCGGGGAGTCTGGGTCCTCCGGAGGACCCGACCTATCGTTTTGGACACAGCCTATATTTCATCTCAAAAAGTCTTATGGTGCGTTCACACCAAACGCGATTTCAGCGTCAGGAGCAGCAGGTTTACATACAAAGTCTATGGTGGAGGCGCTTCAAGCAACGTCGGGAAGTTCTGCGGCGCCTCAAGCGCGATTAGAGCAGCGCGATTTGAACGATTTGGACGATCTGAGCGTCGAACGCTCAGATCGTCCAAATCGTCCAAATCGCTGAAGTTAGAAAATCTGAACTTTTGCAGCTCGACGCGCAGCGTCAACCAATCAGAGAGACTCCACTGTGTGACGTAGTGACATATTTCCCGACGGGACAGTTTACTGAATGATGTCCACTAACCTGAAACAGACAGAGCTCCTGCTCTTTAGCTGAAATGAGTGCTGCAGTCGTGTCCTGATCCGCAGCAATGCGTGGCAGCGACTCATCAGACTGAAAAAAATAGTCCTGAAAGCGAGCTGTGAGCCTCTTCTCTGAATTATCTGGTGAATTAATTATGAATTAATTATCTGATGAACGTGACATGCTCTTGCTCTCTGTAAATAAAGCAAAGCCACTTCCTCGTCCGACATTAAACAGCCCCACAGAGGAGGGAGGGGCGGGGCGGCTGTCGCCGTGCAGCGCAGCTGTCCTGCGTCTGACCTCAAAGTGCACAAGCTTCAAACTTCAGCGTTGGCTGTGATTTTGACGCTGAAATCGCGTTCGGTGTGAACGCACCATTAAAATGGCTGAAATCTTTTAAAGTTAGCTGTGGTGGTGGCCATCTTGAATTTTTGATTAGCTGTTTTGAATTTGGTAGACTGTTTTCTTCTACTTCTACACTGAACTTCAACTTTGTATGGCTAAAAATGGTTGAATAGGTTATGACTTGCATTCCTCATTAATCTTAGCTATGATGATGCAAAATTTCAGGTCAACGTTTCTTAAAACAGCTGAATTAAAGCCATTTGGCAGCCATCTTGAATTTTTAAATCCAGACTGCTTTTTTTTTTTATTTGGATGTGCCCCCCTGAAAAACACCTTGGCCACCCCTTACAACTGTCTAGCTCAGCCCCTGGTGTTTTTATGAGTACAAGTATTTAATTATATTGTAACACCACTATTAAATATATGTTGGATAATTAGAGGAGTCTTTTTTTAACAATGTTTGCAGCAATATTAGGCATTAATTTCAAACAATTTGACAGAACATCTTTAAAATTTGAATACAGCATATTTTAATTTCTAAGACTTGTGCTCAAACACTTTCAATATTTTTAATGTATCATTTTTTAAATTTGCCTAAAAAATTATTGTCAACAAGAAACTATTTATTTCTTTGAATTTCAAACAAAATCCCTTATTGACTCTTACAGCTCAGAAACAAACAGAAAGCCTCAGAAAACCAAGTTAAACTGATTAAACAAACTAGATTTTTTCTTTTTGGTGCTGAAATTTGAAACCGGAGGTAAAAACCTTCATATCGTTCTTAGTCTCAGTTCAAAACAGAAAACAAGCAGCAATCATTACTCCTCTGGATTATTTATTACACTTGTTTTGGCCTTTTTCCCTCGTTGTGTGTCCCCATTTATCCATCTTTGTTTTCACTCTACCTCCTCCTCTCAAGGTGGAGAAGGTTGCCAAGCTACCGGCACAACACAACAGCGCTGCTCTGCATCTCGGCTCGATGTGTCCCTGTGGTTTCAGACAATCAAATCCACAAGTGTGTGTGTGTGTGTGTGTGTGTGTGTGAGTGAGTGTGGGCAACATGAAACTATGAATAGTTTTAGTCTCATAAAGCCGAGGTCCATCTGGGCTTTCAGAGCCGCCTCAGGAGGACGAAATTTATCCAGGACTAAAAAAGGGGCAGCAACTCTGAGGAGGATTCAGACAAAAATATTAGAGAGACTGGGAATGTTAGAAAATATCCTTTTTATTTTGAATAAAACCCACTTGTTGTAAACAGACATTTACCTAAAGACTTCCCGACACACGTGGTTCTGATCGGGTCCTGGTGGAACAAATATTCATCTTGTTTTCTGAATATCAATTGGCAACAATTTAAGAATCGCTGAGGCTTGAAAACTGATTAAAAAGTACTCATTGCAAAGTATGAAATCCAACATAAAAAAAAGGGGGTCCAGCAGTTTTACAGATATACTGATTGCAATTCTGGAATGTGGGTCTGCACTCAATGTAAACAAAGCACTCGACTGAATCCACCAACAGAACTATTCAGGGGGCCACAAATACTGAAAGCAAACAACTCAAGGGTCGAACATCTGGTAACTATTGTCCTTACGTAAATTTGATTTACAATTAAAAATTTAGATTTTTTTTCTTTTAAGTTGCATAGCCCCGTCATAGATCTACATAAACAAGATCACTCTCTAAGTGGAAATATTTATCATTTCAGATTTTTCTATTTTTTTTTCCCAATTTAAAATCTAGCTTTTCTTTACATGAAATAATCTGTGAGCCAGAATAAGCTCACCTACGGGCCAGATGTGGCCCACAGGCCACCAGCTGAATAATTCTGACATAGAAGCTTGAGTCACATTTGATATACAGGTAGATAAATATGGCCATTTCTGTATGTAAACAAACACGTTCTAGCTTGGGTCACAAATTTTGCTTACAAGTTTTCTTTTAGGGGCATTAAAGTACCTGTGACATGCCTGTCCTTCGAGTACAAAAAGTCAAAGAAAACATCTTTATGCTGAAGAAAATTGGCATTGTACAGATTATTTTATCCATTTTGTCACATAATTGGCCTTTTTTTTTTAATTTGGCTCAGCCAAAGTGAAACAGGAAGTGACATCAAAGGGGAACTCATTAATAAAATAAACTATCTGATTTTTGTTTATTAAAACAAAATTATTAAAAACTTTAAATCTTCATCTCATTGATGGATTTAAAATAATCTAAAGAAACATCAGATTCTTCTCTACAGTCTGTTGTTAGCTCTGCTCTGTTCACATGCAGACAGTCCCCTTTGACATCACTTCCTGTTTCTTCACATGCAAATATCTCAACAACTGTTCATCTCAGCAGCATGAAATTTGTTTTGCAATATATTATCAGTGTTACCTTTCCAAAAAATGCATTAATGTTTATTACAAAAATTTGATGTCACAGGCCCTTTAACCAGCGTTCGTTTTTATGACTCTGCAATGACTACTTTCTTTCCTCAGCGTTCCTGGACAGATAAACCTACAGAAATGCTCCAAAGGAAAACAAAAAGCCCATCTATTCACAGAAACAGAAGGAAAAGTCACTGCAGTTCTTAATCAAACATGATTCGTTTTGTTTCTCCGTCACCAGTTGCACAAGTACAAACAGTAGAAAAACTAACAGATACTCACTCACCAGCTGCACCCACCTATTACAGACGTTCACAGAGCGTAACAAAGTTAAGACAGCTGCTTACAGAGGATACATTCACAGACTCATCGTGGCTTTTACAAAAATATACATCTGCGGAGCGTGCACGGTGACGCCACTGTGGTGCATCGGGTACGTTTAGAAAGACACGGTAAAAAAAAAAAAAAAACTACAGGACATCCTCTGAGTTTACAAAAGCAAAGCTCGGGAACAAATGGCACTTATTGTTACTGTAGCAGAGAGAAATCTCCAGGGCAGCATTACAGCCAAAACACACACACACACAAACACACACTCTTCCCAGTTACAGCAGCTCTGAGCAGAGGAAACTGATTCACAACACACAGCCAAGTGTTTCATCTCACATTTAAGCAACTCAGGCAGGAGATTCATGGATTAAAACTACAAAAAAAAGGTAAACATTATTTTAAAAGCTTACAAAAAATACTGAAAACATAACAAAAAGCAGTGAAAGGTTTGTTTCCAAACTACTAATACAGTTGCTTTCCTATTATCACAACGTGAGAAAGAGTACCGTTTAAACCAGGAGTCCCCAAGTACTGAGCCCAAGACCAGTACCACCCCAAGGATCATTTGTAACCGGTCCACATGACAAGAAAAGTATTTTGTGGAAACAAATAAATAAAATAAAAATAATTTCTATACAATGTGAATTGTACAAAATTATAAAAACAGACCACTTCCTTTTCTACGTTTTTGCTGCAATGGACTCCACTGCAGTTACTTTTGTGCTACCACATCTACAAGCTAACCACAACTAGCCTGCAAGCTAACTTCAATTAGCCTGTGAGCTAATGTCAACTAGCCTGCAAGCTAACACCAATAAACCTGCAAGCTAACGTCAATTAGCCTGCAAGCTAACACCAATAAACCTGCAAGCTAACGTCAATTAGCCTGCAAGCTAACCACAACAAACCTGCAAGCTAACCACAACAAGCCTGCAAGCTAATGTCAATTAGCTTGCAAGCTAACCTCAACTGCCTGCAAGCTAATGTCAATTGACCTGCAAGCTAACTTCAAATGCTTGCAAGCTAACCACAACAAGCCTGCAAGCTAACCTCAACAAGATTGCAGGCTAATGCCAATTAGCCTGCAAGCTAACCTCAACAAGCTTGCAAGCTAATGCCAATTAATCTGCAAGCTAACTTCAACTAGCCTGCAAGCTAAGCACAACTAGCCTACAAGCTATCCACAACAAACCTGCAAGCTAACCTCAACAAGCTTGCAAGCTAATGCCAATTAGCCTGCAAGCTAACCTCAAAAAGCTTGCAAGCTAATGCCAATTAGCCTGCAAGCTAACCACAACAAGCCTGCAAGCTAATGCCAATTAATCTGCAAGCTACCTTCAACTAGCCTGCAAGCTAAGCACAACTAGCCTACAAGCTATCCACAACAAGCTTGCAAGCTAACCTCAACAAGCTTGCAAGCTAATGCCAATTAACCTGCAAGCTAACCACAACAAGCCTGCAAGCTAACCACAAAAAGCCTGCAAGCTAACCACAACTAGCCTACAAGCTAACCACAACAAACCTAAAAGTCAATTAGCCTGCAAGCTATTTACAACAAACCCTGCAGGCTGACGTCAACACATCCGACAAGCTAAAAAATGTAAAAAGTTAACTTTGCCGGAGAATATTTTCCGCTACTGGTTAGTTTATGGGAAAGCTGTCTTGTATGAAGCTTCTGTGAAGTGGTAAAGGTTGGGGACAGCTGATTTAAACCAGAAATTCTTTACTCAGTACTAAATATTTAACTGAAGGTGTCTTTATTGCACCTCAATAAATCAAAATCAGTAAATATGGGTCAAATATTACCAGAATAAAAGACTCAATCTGAGTTTATTCTGCCTACTTGGGTTTAGTTCTGTCATAATACGAAAAAAAATGTAGATTTGCTGAAAACAATCTGCTGATGTTCCTTGTAAAGTCGTGTCCAAAGACAGAAAACACTACATAACTAAAATTAGCTTGATGCAAATTTAATTTTCACAGATTAAGTGTTACTAAATTTGTGCCTTGGCTCCAATATAAGCGCTTCATGCCTCCACCGCTGCTGCCTGTCGGTTCTGGTTGTCCTCAGAAGGACCGAGTGGTCCGGCCCACCACAGAGACAGAGCGTTGTCCTGCCGGCTCTCCTGCTGCGGTGCCACCGCTCCGTCACCCTCGGTGTCGGAGGCAGAGTCGCCCTCGCTGTCGGCGGGCCACGGGAACTGCCGCTGGCCGCTGGATGTGGCCAGCAGGGGCATAAAGGGATGAATGCTGGGGGGCAGAAGAGCAGCAAAACATGGCTGAGTCATTTATCATGCCAGAGTATCAGATTATATTAAAAGATGATGTTAATTAATGTTATTCATCAGCTACTTTCTGTTTTAATTTGAATGTACCAATTTCAGATTAATGGATTCCTAATAGTGATATTTTTGGACCTTTAATTAAGAAGTTAATCTGATAATAAAGTAATAACATTCACTAAAAGGTAACCCTTAAAATTAGAAGCTGCTCTCCAACTCCAAGATGAAATATTGTTAGTTTCTGTAAAAAAGGGAGGAGCATCTTGCAACTAATTACGTTAATTAACAGGTAAATAAGAGCATTTTAGAGGCTGAATCTCTAAAAAGTCAGTCTAAAAACTCTAGAATTGCGCTGCTCAAGGTGGTAATTCCTCGTTTTCTGGATGATTATTCTTTCTGCTATTAGATGCTATGCAGCTGGAAGGATTTTTGCTAACACCTCTTTTGCTTTTGAACATTTAGAATGATGCATAACCATAACATGGTGGTTTGTTATAACTGGGAACAGCTGATTAACATCTCAAAAGCTCAAATAATACCTCAGCTACAGCCTCAACTACAGCCCTGTATCCCAGAGGAGTTGAAAAAGAGGCGCCGTGGATGCAGAGCAGGAGAAAAGAGGAGAGAGAGAGAAGGTGGAAGTTCAAACCATCTCTTCCATCAATCATGATGGGCGACAGGAGATCGTAATGGAACAAGTTGGACAAACTCCAAGCCCCAACAAGAACCCAGCTAGAGTATCAGGAAAGCAGTATTTATATGTTTCACTGAGACATGGCTGCAGGATTATATCCCTGACTCCAGCGTCTCTCTACCAGGCCTTCTGACCATATGACGGACAAACCTGAGCATCCTTCAGATCTGCTGTGAGACGGACTGCTACAGGAAACGCTTCCTGACTACAGTGATCAGTATCTATAACAACTCTTTAAAGAAACCGGGATAATATGAGTTACTACAACTTTTAATTCCCCTTTGAGATTAATAAAGTATAACTGAATTTTATTTAATTTAATTGAAGTCTGTGAAAACGTGTCTAAAAAAGGTTGATTAATTTCAAAATAAGACTAAATTGGGATGACTCTGAAAATCTAATCATGTACAGTTTATTATATCAACAGATTTAAAAGGCAGAAAGTCAGTATTGTGTGTTTTAATTAGTGTTTCCAGCTAGTGGAGTGATTCTACCTGACACCGTTGGTGCAGTCCCAGTGAGCCTGGAACCTAAGCTCCGGCTGCAGGAGTTCCTCGTTTCCATCAGGGGGAGCCGTCAGAGTGTCCCAGACCGACACCACTCCCTCCGTGTCTCCGCTCAGCAGGTACCTGCCGCACCTGGACACACGCAGACCGGATTACGACGCAGACCGTGTCAAAGCCGGGGGTTCTGATCGGGAGGGTCGACTTACTGGTCCAGGTCAAAGTAGATCCGTTGGTTGGTGGCCACGTTCCTCTTGAGCGAAAACACGACTTTTCCTGGTTCTCTCAGGTCCCAGCACAGAATCTCTGGATCCTACAGACAAAAATAATAATAATAATAATTATAATTCATGGAGGCGGCAAACATTTCAATTCAATTCAATTTATTGTCATTATACTGAAACAGGGTTGTACAGCACAATGCAATGCTTTTAAGCTAGATCTCCAGTGCAGTAACAAAGGACATAGTGCAGACAAGACATAACGTGCATAAACATTAGACACAAACATTAAATACACAATCGTGTGTATGAAGTGAACAGGGTGTGGACAACGGACAGTCTATGATTGTTCAGGTTATGTCTGGAGTGGCTGGGGTCACCAGTTTAACAACACGGGGAAAGAAGCTGTTCTTGAGTCTGGTGGTTCTGGCTCTGATGATCCTGTRCCTTCTTCCAGATGGCAGGGGTTGAAACAGGAAGTGGCTGGGGTGGGTGGGATCAGAGGAGATACTGACGGCTTTTTTCACACATCTCTTGTTGTAGAGGTCCTGCGTGGGTGGGAGGGCAGCTGCAGTGATGAACTGAGCAGTCGTCACTACTCTCTGCAGAGCCTTGTGTTCAGCAGCAGTGGCACTACCATACCACACTGTGAGGCAGCTGCTCAGAATACTCTCCACAGTGAACCTGTAGAGGTTGCAGAGTAGCTGCTGTGGCAGTTTAGCCCTCTTCAGACGACGGAGGAAGTGTAGGCGCTGTTGGGCTTTCCTGATAATGTGGGATGTATTCAGTGACCAGGTGAGATCCTCTGAGATATAAACACCGAGGAACCTGAAGCTGTCCACTCTCTCCACTAATGTCCCCTCAATACTCAGGGGTTTGTGCGCTCTACTCCCTCGCCTGAAGTCCACAATCAGCTCCTTGGTTTTGCTGGTGTTGAGGGAGAGGTTGTTGGTGGTGCACCACTCTGCCAGGAGCTTCACTTCCTCCCTGTACGCCCCCTCATCATCATTGGAGATATTGCCAATGACTGTAGTGTCATCAGCAAACTTGATGGTGTTGGTGCTGTGTTTTCTTTCCTATGGTTGAAAGTCTTCTCCGAATTCACTACTAAACTGCATCAAAAATACTATGGCTCAACAACTGTTGAATTTTATTCTTTTAAAAGCTGAACTTCAAATCACTTCTGAAAACTTACTGCGACACAGATAAAAATGTTTGCTCACACTGAAGGAATATTTCTGTTTGATATTTTTTGGTAAACAAAACGTTTGTATCGACTGCAGACGTGACGTTTTTATTTAATTATCTCTGGTTCTGTTCGCGTCAAGCTGCCAAGGGCTCTGGTCTTTGAGACGAGCAATTATTTTTGGAAAATAATTATCTGTTCACAGCAAAATAAAAGCCAAAACATGAGCTTTTTGGCGTAGATTCAAGTTTCAGTGACATCTCTGTGAAACTGAAGTCCTGACGCCTCATTAGTTCCATCAGTTCTCTGAAACTCGACAGTAAAAACAGCTAAAACAGAGCAGATTACGGTTCCTGCGCCTCTTATTTCAACAGGACACACTGTGTGTGCGTGCGTGTGTGAGCGCTGACCTTGCGCCCGCCGGTGTACAGGTAGTTGCCGTCGGGGGAGAACAGCAGATGGGTGAGGCCCCCGTGGTGGCGGGTGGGCAGCAGGGCCAGCAGGGTGCCATCCTGGCAGGAGTAGAGGCCGGCGCACCGGGAGTACGAGCCGCAGGCGTAGACGGCCTGACACGGGCTGAAGCTGAAGCAGGAGATGATGCCGATCTGGCCTCGTTTCTTCACTGCAGCGACGACAGGAGAGCAGCGATGTTAGCAGAAGCTTTGACCTTTTACACTTCACACGGTCTGCTCAGCTGGACTGACGTGATGTTTTAACAGCTAATACGTTTAAGGCCCTGTCACACTGTAACGTTTTAGACAACTTATGTCAACTTGTGAAATTTTGTAGACATCTATGTTAAAGATAAAATTTAAACAAATCAACTGGAAGCTTCTTTTAGGCGTGTACATACTATAATGCTAACGAATCTATCAAAAATATAACAGCGACTTAGTCGATAAAATGTCTCAAAAGTTGGAATAAGTTGGGGTTGGGTATTTACGTATTTTCCAGGCACATTGTTCAATTCTACACCACAATCAAGTAACTATATTACCTTCAGTTGTGATGAAAATGCTGTATATCAAAAATAAATTATATTTTGTATCATAGTCTATCTCAGTGGTTCCCACAGTGGGGTCCTGAAACATCAAGGTGAGGTCCTGAAAAGATTTTCTGAATTACTTACACCAAAACATTACAACTAACAACAATTTTTTGTGCCTTTGTTGTTACAAAAAGAGTAAGGTTAATGTAATTAAAATGGACAAAAAGAGAGTAATAAATATTGTTATTTTGTTCTTGTTTATTTGAAGTGAAAACAATGTTTATCAACCAACAAAACCTGGGCTCCCACTTCAACTAGGGCTGCCACAAACGATTATTTTTATAATCGATTAATCACCGATTATTTATTCGATTAGTCGACTAATCGGATCATACGTTAATTGAATATAAAACATACAGCTTATCGTGACAGAATGCAGCTGCTATTATATAACCATGGTTAGATTTTAGCTATATGCTAACTAAAAATAATTGCTGTAGAAGTCAAGTTCTGCTCTGCAGATATTACACAGGTTTCTCTTTCATTTTCTTAAAATGATCCCACACTTTGAGCTCCGTTGTCAGGTAGCCATGATACCAGAGCCTGTCTGTATAATGTCTTGTGACGTCCACGGCCTACCCCAGTTACCACTACTGTGCATGTGTGTCAAGGACAGAAAGGCAGATGTGCCAGTGGAAGGTGTCAAAGCTGTTTGGAGAGAAAAACAAAGTAAATAACAAAAAAAAGGAAAACGATTAATCGATTATTAAATTAGTCATCGATTATTTTAATGTCGATTAGTCGTCGATTAATTGATTAATCGTGGCAGCCCCAACTTCAACACGTCTTCACAACAATGCTTCATGCCTTTATAACATTTCGTAAGAGCGTTGTATTTTGTTTTTAAAAAAAGAAGCAACATTTTATAATCAGTTTCGGAAAATGGCAGCTCAGGGTACTTACTCTGATTCTTACTCCAATGATCCCATGCTGGATCTAGAAAGTACGTTTTGTGAAGAACCGGAGCGAGTAACGAGGCTCTTACAAGACATTTCAGCTCTGTAATACATCTCCTAGTCATCCTCTCATACACAAACTTCAATTTTAAAGATACGTTGAGAGTAAAATATAAAAACAGATCCTTATGAAGCTATGTTTTGCTCCGGGGGGAGCTTTGTACCATCAAGCGTTTAGGCAGCTCCACGTGGTCACAAGAAATTCAAGGATTTTTAAACATGCATGAATGAGTCAAAGCAACACTATGTGTAAGTTTTTGATGAGGTAATGACATTTTAACATAATATAAAGCATAAAAAAGTCAATTTTGTATAATCCCCCCCTTAAAAAATCTCTCTACCAGCATACGCTTTAAAAAAGTCCCACTTGTACTTGTATACTAATGAATAAGCTTTCAGTTTTATTGCTCACACTCTTGGACACTTGAAACACATAATTGAAACAAACGCGACGTCTCACTTCCCGATAAAGTTCATTTGTTGACATTTTCAGAAGTTATTGTTCTGCCACAGAACTCTTATCTAATCCATGTAAAGCGGCTCTGTTAACATCAGAACATCTAAAGCACTTCAAACCCACAGAGGCTGTTTGAAACGAGTGACAGAGATAAAACATCCGTCACAATAAACACAGACGTCTCTTTTGTCTGGAGAACATAATGACAAGTCGTTTTTGTTCAAGGAGACGTGACGGTGAGCTGTCAAACTGCAGCTCAGTGAAAAGACCAGACGGCTGATTTCAGATCAGAACTTAGAATAAGTTTCAGGCTTTTATTTTCCTGGTAAACTGCTGTTTTCTTCCCTGCAAGACTTTAAATGTTCTTTACCCAAACTTAATCTTATAAAACTATTAGTTGGTGGAATTAATATTGAATATAAGCTGAATAAATCACTAACACATAATGACCACTGAAGAGAAACAATTCAATGTGTTTTAAGAGTATAATTGTGTTTAAACACACAGTTAAGAGCCTAAATCCTTCAAAATAAGCAGTGTGGAGCTTTAAAAGTGAGACCGGTTACCAACAGACCTACAGTGGGCCGCTCCTCGCAGTCTCTCCCGGGACGATCCGTGTAGAAAACCCGAACCATTTTCTCAAAGCCGCAGTACAGCTGCGCTCCGTCCGGTGAAAAGCAGAGCGAGTGGGCCGCTGTCAGCTCGTCCAGGTGGTTGTAGGGCCGAAAGCTGGCCCGCACCTCGCCGTAAAACGCGTCCCACACGTGCACCGGGTTGTCCCGGCTGCTGCTGGCCAGACTGGAGGAGACCAGGAGGAAGTGAGGCAAAAATATTAACGTCTGAAACTAAAGGGATGGTTTATTAGAAAAATAGTAATTAAGTGCTTAATCAGCAACAATTAAAAGATTTAGCAACAAATATCTGCTTAAGAAAAAAAGGAAAATTCTGCAGAAGAAATGCAAACTTTAATATATAAACTGTATAAGGACTGTGAATCAAACTAAAGTTAATAAAGGTTAAAGCTACTGCCTGTAGCTCAATAAGATCACCATTGTAACAGCATGCTTGTGTCTGTCACTCACTGACAGAACTGCCTTTAAAGAGGCAGGCAGACTGAAAACTAAGCCTCAAACAGTCACTGATAAAATCTATAAAGAGAATCCTAAAAGTTCTTTAAAGGGCCAATATTATGTGTTCCTCAGGCATATATTTAAATACTATACCATCAGGGGTAGACATAAGGAAATTTTTCAGGTTGTCCAGCGGACAACCTGTTGATAAAACCTGGTTGTCCGCAAAACAATTTGGTTGTCCAAAAGAATCTTAGGAAAAATTTAATTTAACAAGTATATTGTTCTGTAGACAAAGTTTATTATATATAATTGTTCTCAGTCAGCCAGGTTGACAGGATCTGTGTAAATAAAACTTCCTCATTCGCTTCTTTTGAAATAGAGTATTTAAGGCTCAGGGAGTAAAGCAGCAAAAATGTTGCTAATAAAATCTAGAGGTGACCCAACATTCATAAACTTTTTTTCATGCTCAGTCATAGGTCAAACATTTTCACTTAAACAGGAATATACTGTGTACATGGCCTTATTAAAAGTTATAGTTTAGTGTTCTGTTCGGCTTTACCAAGTTTTTTCTCCCTTTCATTTTTACAAATGATGGACACCCGCAGCAGAGAACTTTAATCAAGGTCTTTTATTCTTGGTTGTCCACCGGACAACCAGGAGACAGGATCTGGTTGTCCGAAATGAATATAGGTTGTCTCGGACAACCTAAACAATGGTTATGTCTACCCATGACCATAATAAAGTATCTATGTCACCTTTAGCTGTTGTTAAAATGTTTTTTTAATGTTTAAATAGAAAATAAAC